TTTTAATTTAAAAAAAAGAATCAGGCATATTCTCAACCTTAACTCCCATAGGGATACAAGCTGAGGACGAAAGACTTGGAAGTTACATTGAAGGTAGGGAATACCCCCCCCCCCCTTAATCACCAATCACCAAGAATTAAAAAAGGTCAATCACTAATCACCAAGATATATTCATGCCAATCACCAAGAATTCCTGAATCACATTTCACACAGAATATTGGGCTCAAATAAGGCATCACGCTCGAAAAATAAGGCCAATCATGCGGAACGCAAAAGGTATTCCCTACCCTCTATACTCACTCATTTCAAGCTCTTCACATTGGTGACACATTGGTCAAGTCATGCAGATAAAGATTATAAGGGATTGGGGGGGGGGGGGGGCAGGGATAGGGCATGGTGGCAGCAGGGGTAGGATGTGGGGGGGTCAGGGATAGGGCGTGGTGGCAGCAGGGGTAGGATGTGGGGGGGCAGGGATAGGGCGTGGTGGCAGCAGGGGTAGGATGTGGGGGGAGGGGGAGGTGGGAGGGCAGTCCAAAGGCAGTGGGGGTTATTGAAAATTGGGACAAACTGTCTTTTTCCTCAAAAAAAATGGACCACCCTGAATCAAAATGCATATCCAAGGGTTTGATATTTCTTTGTGAAGAGGTTAAAATGTCTATGGACTTTTTTAGAAGAAAAGATCATGCCCCCCTCCTTTGAGATTGCTGTCTGCAGGCTTTTACAGCTTCTTTTAAACAAAAGAGAGCAAATTCATCTTAGCATGTTCATTTATCAAAAATGGAGGAGAGCAAGAGAACTGATGTAAGGTCATGGCTGGTATGCTAAAGTGATCAGATGATTTAATTGTAAAGGTGGCTTCCTCCATCATCTTGTATAATGTATCAACATGCAATTGAGTTGTCAGTGCTCACGTCATACTGAGGCACGTAATTACGTCTTTAAATTGAGAACTGCACTGTTTGTTGAACATGATATGTTTACAAAGCCCCTAGGGGAAGGTAAAACATTGCTGGGGAATCCAAATGTTTCCACATGGAGTTTTGTTATTTAGTGTTTGTTGTGAGATGGAGGGATGAGATTGATGTCTTTACTTATGGTTGGTTAAGCACAGAGATTACATTGTCCTTCACTGAGGACACGTTATTTATTTTTCTGGTGTATCTCATGACAGATTTTATTTGTTCTGTGAAGTTGGCATTGGGCAATGGGGAATTGCTTTTTTTTTTTTTTGTCCTAGATTTCTTTTTTTTTTTTTTTTTTTTTTTTTTTGTCCTAGATATTTATTTTTATTTCATTTTTAACCACTGAATGCCAAGCACAGCATTGAGGATGGGGTTAATAGCAAGGCCCATGCACACCTCCAGGCTACTGTGCTTGAACATTACACATATAAAACAAGCATTTAATATACAGTACAGAGCATGATCAGAGGGTCATATGCACTCGTGCACATATGCATGCAAAAGTGTAGAGGACTATACATGTATATTACACTCAAACAGGCATTTATAGACACTGCATATATTTATACAGTGTATGCACACACATTCACAGGAATACGCATACAACTACTGTCCTGCATTGGCAGTACATTATATTACTTACACACATAGTATATGACCAGAGATCCACATACTCATATACTGGTACTTCACAACAATTGGCACACATACCCAGCACATCAATATACTGTACATATACAGACACGCATGCACTGTGTAGATCAAGATGATTGATCTCAAGGTAAAAACTTGAAACCCACAAGTGGAGAAAATTGTACATACCAGGTGAGAGCACCTGCACCAAGCCCCCCCCCTCCACCCCCATTCTCTTACAGACACACCCTTCACCCCACCTTTAGTGACCAAAAATATAAAGAGAATGCCTGAGGATAGTTTGATTTATTAACATTGACAAGAATTCAGTGAGGAAATGTAATACATCAATGTGATTGGGTAAAAACAACAGTCAGGACATTGAAAAGGTTGCATGGACACCATTGAGAGTAGGCTGCCTTTGGATTACTTACGTGAGCTTTATTTTGCTAACTTAGGTACCTTTACAAATTCTCAATAGTGTTCCTATTATATATTTGTGCTAAAGTCAGTGAACTGTGCAATCAATTCTTAATTATCTGTGTTGATTGTGTTGTTGTTTGTGTTGATATTGTTAATCTATGCTGCATTATCCAGTGTTACATTGATGCCGCTCATTTTATATTGTGTCAGGCACGTATGGGGTGAGGGTTGAATAGATTCCCCTCAAAAAAGTGTGCGTTATGATGAGAAATGCAATATTCTGACTGACTGGGGTTAAATTACTGTTGGTAAATTAAGTTTTCTTTTAAATTTTACTGCCCTCTTTTGATTTTTTCGTCTCTTTTGTTTTGCTGTATGTTCTTTGTAGGTCTGTTTATGAGTGAGTCAAGGTTGTCACGCTTTCTCTGTCAAAGTCAAATATTTCTGTCAATGTCAAATGTTAACTGTTTATGTACTGGTATTTGACCCACGAATTATGGCGATTGAGACCCTTTTCTGTTTGTAGTTATTTGTGTGTGATTTAAGCCAGTAAATGTAATTTTTTTTTCTATATTCATGAAATAAATTAAATGAATATATATATATATATATATATAGATAGATATAGATATAGATATAGATATAGATATCAGTTTGTGTTCTTAAGCATGACAGTTGTATAATTGGCTACATTTTCCTTTCCTGTAATCATCTAACATAAAAACAGATCATTACACATGTAAATTAAAAAATTCTCCTGACAAACTTTCAGATTCCTTTTTGCTGTTGATTCACTTCAAACATTGACAGTATTTTATTGAAATAAACCTCATCAGTTGTTATAAATTATAGCTGATGAATTGATTTATAATGGGTGGTCTTTGTAATCATATCAAGTTTAATTAATAACCATTGATGAACTTTCAGTTATAAATTGATTTCAGGGAGTGTGCTCAATCACTCATAGTTGATCATCATGGGTTTCTCCATTACCTGGATGTGGGTTATTAATTTTGATTAATTAAAAGGTAATCTTTATGGGAATTTTTGCACCAAAATGCAATTTTCCCTACTCATGGTTGATCCATCCCTGCCCTCAATGTTTTGTACCAATTTGAATTGAATAACATTAATTTTCCAAAGAAGCATGATTGATTTAGACTACCATATCTTCCTAACATTTAAGAAGGAAATGTCAGCATCGTTTACTTTTATTTGCAGGATTTTAATTTTTTTTAAAGTTGTTTCTGAAGGAGGGGAGGGAATCATTTTAATAAAAAATTAAAATTTTTATTTATCTTGGAAAGTTTCAGAGCTTTGTNAGTTATAAATTGATTTCAGGGAGTGCGTTCAATCACTCATAGTTGATCATCATGGGTTTCTCCATTACCTGGATATGGGTTATTAATTTTGATTAATTAAAAGGTAATCTTTATGGTAATTTTTGCACCAAAATGCAATTTTCCCCTACTCATGGTTGATCCATCCTTGCTCTCAATGTTTTGTACAAATTTGAATTGAATAACATTAATTTTCCAAAGAAGCATGATTGATTTAGACTACCATATCTTCCTAACATTTAAGAAGGGAATGTCAGCATCGTTTACTTTTATTTGCAGGATATATATATATATATATATATATATATATATATATATATATATATATATATATATATATATATATATATATATTTTTTTTTTTTTTTTTTTTTTTTTCCTTCTTTTTTTAAGTAATGTTTCTGAAGGTGGGGAGGGAATCATTTTAATAAAAAATTTTATTTTTATTTATCTGGAAAAGTTTTAGAGCTTTGCAGCATATTTCCACATGAACATAAAACTTGGTGTCTAATGTGTACAGTATACTTCTAGTGTGTCTTTTGACCCAAATATACCTACAGATTCATCCAGAGAGTGGTAAACCACAGCTGCATTACAGTGCTGAAAATGAAGTGTACCTTAACAGTTATACCTCAGTATTTTGGATCACAAAGGGGTTATATTACCATATTATTAACTTATAATGGAGCACGGAAATATCTTTATTGTTATAGAAAAATGATGTTTCAAGCCCCAGAGCATCATTTGAAAATTATGATGCAAGTTATCCTTATGACATTAGAAAAGTAAGCTAGTTCTTCTTCCCCACATTAAATTTTAGCATTTTCCATTTCCATTATGAATGTCTGTTCTGATGTCTGACCTGCATGTCATCCTTTCTACCTGCTTCAAAACAGTTACAGATGTTATAGATTAAAGAACTTCAATCTACAGTGTAATGAAATACACAGTACTCTACCCACCAGGTAATACAGATAGCTGATTGTGCCTGGTTGTGACATTTGTCACATCTAACACAATGACCAGTGACTTGCGAAAGGATAAACGTGTTGGTTGCCATGTACTGGGTCATTTGTTTGGGTCTGACTGTGTAATTCTAGTGGTTAAGTCATGTTCTGACTCTTTGTGGCTAGCAATTATAATGACACTATCCATTCAAATTGTTTTTACTTAAATTATTGAATTTTCTGTGGTTGTTTATTTGTTTGTTTGTTTGTTTGTTTTACTTCAGTTGATGTAAGGCATAATGGATCTCTGATGAAGTGGTACAATGCTAATTCTTTCTTTTTCTTTTTTAATTTCCATCTTAGCTAGAATAGTAACCTTACACAAATATAGTACTTCGTCCCACACCTCCATTATCTGATTTTTTTTTTTTTCAGGTATCTTTTCCGCTAATTCTATGCCTCTTGATCTTTGATGTTGCTTTCATGATTTGATGTTTATCCTGTTACATATTCTGTTAATTTCTCTACTGAATCTAGCCTCCTTTTCCTGTGACCCTTCTCATTTCCATATACAATAATAACCAAATTCTCTGTGGAAATAGTGCAATAACAATACAACTCTACAAAGCATCTTCAATACTGCACAGATACAAGTCCCTGTTTTAATTGATATATTTCACTTTGTATATTTGCAGGAGTGGCTGACAGCAGAGAAATGTGCCCCGTATCTCCTGTGTCGAGGTCTGGTGAGGATACGTTGTTATCAGGAGCTGAGCCGTGTCATACAACATTTGACCAGAGTGGGGTGGATCAACTTCGGTATCATCTCTCCCCCGCAAGACCTCTCTGTGTTACCTGACAGGCACAAGGTGGTTTTTTTAATATATTTATTTATTTATTTCTGCTGTTGTTTCTTTGTTTGTTTGTTTAAAGTATAAAATGAAAAATGAAATCAGATTTAAATGTTCACACTTTCATATTTTCCATGGACCTTTCAGTTCATTCACATTATTTTATTCACTAATATTTACTGATTTAATTGTTTTTCTGTCTTGCATATTTCATTTTGCTAGCTCCTTATTGTCATGTCTAACTTGAGTGTAAATTGTCTGCTATTTCAGCCAGAGGTTATAGTAATTGGGGCAGGAGCTGCTGGTCTTGGAGCAGCCAAACAACTCAAAAACTTTGCTGCTAAGGTACTGCTGATGCTAACCTATAAGAATCTGATGAAAAGGAGGTGGGAGGGGTCCAAAAACAAAAATTCTAGAAAAAAGGACCTTTTACTTTGGATTTTATGACACGAAGAGGATTTTAATTTTATGGCCAAATAGAACTGAAAACCCTTGTTGGACGTATTATACTTTTTTTAAATGCAATAAATTTGGATTAATTGATATATTTTAACTGTTACAGTTATTTAAACCAATTCTGACAATGAAAAAAATGTGATAAATTATTTTATATGACATGTAGGAATAGAATATAACTTCAATGGATTAGATTTACAGACATCAATTACAATGTATAACGTGGATTATTTATTTATTTATTCATTATTTATTTATTTATTTATTTATTTATTTATTTATTTATTACTACCCCAGGTGTGCATCCTTGAGGCTGCTGACCGTATTGGTGGACGTGTTTGGGATGACCGGTCACTAGGGGTGTGTGCTGGACGAGGGGCCATGCTGGTCAATGGGTGTATTAATAACCCTATCTGTGTGATGTGTGAACAGGTGGGTGTATTAATAACCCTATCTGTGTGATGTGTGAACAGGTGGGTGTATTAATAACCCTATCTGTGTGATGTGTGAACAGGTGGGTGTATTAATAACCCTATCTGTGTGATGTGTGAACAGGTGGGTGTGATTTGATATGTCTAAAAGATGGATAAAAAACAACGAAAAAAAAGGCGTTTTCTAACAACCATTTCCACCTCCCAGACCCCCCTCCCCCCCTCCAAAAAAAAAAAAAAAATCCCAAAAGTGTAAAATTCTGGATTTCTGAAAAGATCCTTGTTAATATAATATTCCAAATTTCAGAAAATATCTTAGATTCATTTCTTATAATTCAACTACTATAAGTTATGTCCACATTCCACATACTTATTATAATTTATTTACATGTAGTTGTGCATATTTAAAAAAACATCATAGTTAATTCCAGTCAACTTTCTGATTCTGCGCTTCAATTAATGTTTTAATTGATTTACATGCATTAACTTTAAGGATATATGACATTTCTTTCAGGCTGGGATAAAGTTACATCCCATCTCCCCAACTTGTGATCTCATTGATGAGTCAGGCAAACAGATAGATGGCAGCACAGACAAGAGAATCGACTTCCATTTCAATGCACTTTTAGACATCATAGCTGAGTGGAGGAAAGAGAGGGATAGTCACAAAGATTGCAGCCTTTTAGGTGTGTAATTGTTCCATTTGACATGTGCATTTTAATCCTTTTTATTGCTTCATTACTATAATTATCATGGACATATTTCTTTGTTGAAGAAGCTAGTTGAAACTGAAATATATTTCTTACTTAAATCAAGGAGTTATAACAGAAGGAGATTACNCTTCTGACCCAAATATACCTACAGATTCATCCAGAGAGTGGTAAACCACAGCTGCGTTACAGTGCTGAAAATGAAGTATACCTTGACAGTTATACCTCAGTATTTTGGATCCTAAAGGGGTTATATTACCATTTTATTAACTTATAATGGAGCACTGAAATAGCTTTATTGTTATAGAAAATTATGTTTCAAGCCTTAGAGCATCATTTGAAAATTATGATGTGAGTTATCCTTATGACACTAGAAAAGTAATTTAGTTTTTCTTTCACACATTAAATTTTAGCATTTCCATTTCCATTTTGAATGTCTGTTCTGATGTCTGACCTGCATGTCATCCTTTCTACCTGCTTCAAAACAGTTACAGATGTTACAGATTAAAGAACTTCAATTTACAGTGTAATGAAATACACAGTACTCTACCCATCAGGTAATACAGATAGATGATTGTGCCTGGTTGTGACATCTGTCACATCTAACACAATGACCATTGACTGAAGAGATAAACGTGATGGTTGCCATGTACTGGGTCATTTGTTTGGGTCTGACTGTGTAATTCTAGTGGTAAAGACATGTTCTGATTCTTTGTGGCTAGCAATTATAATGACACTATCCATTCAAATTGTTTTTACTTAAGTTATTGGATTTTCTATGGTTGTACATGTATTTTTGTGAGTAAGTTTTTTGTTTGTTTGTTTTACTTCAGTTGTTGTTAGTGGCAAAGGCATAATGGATTTCTGTTGAAATGGCACAATACTTCTTGAAATTATATATTTTCTCATTTTATCAGAAAAAGTTTTATTGTTCAGACTATTACTATTTTAACCAGCATTAATCATTTTAATTGTTTTATTTACCTTAGCTTTTATTATTTATATAATTACTTGTAATTCTGATAATTTCATTTGTAAACACATATCTTATTTTCCATGAACCTTTTTTCATAATTCAAAATACTTCAGCTAGTATACATACATCCACTGTACATGTTCATTTTGTTCAGTTCACTGACTTTTTTATTCACTAATATTAATTGATTTAATTGTTTTTCTGTCTTGCATATTTCATTTTCCAAGTTCCTTATTGTCATGAATAACTTGAGTGTAAACTTGTCTGCTATTTCAGCCAGAAGTTATAGTAATTGGCGCCGGAGCTGCTGGTCTTGGCGCAGCCAAACAACTCAAAAACTTTGCTGCTAAGGTACTGCTGATGGTGACCTATAAGAATCTGATGAAAAGGAGGGGGGGGGGGTCCAAAAACAAAAATCTAGAAAAAAAGGACCTTTCACTTTGGATTTTATGACATGAAGAGGATTTTAATTTTAGGACCAAATAGAACTGAAAACCCTTGTCCTACTATACCTCTGTTAACGCAATGAAGTTGGATTGATTGATAATATTTTAACTGTTACAGTGATTTCTCATAATTCTGACAATATAACATATTTGATCAGTTATTTTATATGAAATGTAAGAATAGAATTTAACTTCAGTGGATCATATGTACATCAGTTACCCTGCATAACGTGGGGATCGATTGCTTATTTATTTATTTATTTATTTATTACTACACCCAGGGTGAAATGTCAGAATAGATTATAACTTCAATGCATCAGGCATACATGGATTATGCCATAGGATTTATTTATTTATTTATTTATTTATTTATTTATTTATTTATTTATTACTACCCCAGGTGTGCATCCTTGAGGCTGCTGACCGTACTGGTGGACGTGTTTGGGATGTGTGCTGGACGAGGGGCCATGCTTTTGATTTCTGACTACCTTATAACTTACAATGAGTGTGTCAACAATGAAGTAGCTGTAACAAAAATTTGTGAGTTTAAGCTCGCATATTGGGCAACTTTGGCTTACTGAGTACCTTATAACTTATAATAGAGTGTGTCAACAATAAAGACAGCATTTCTTTTGTATTTTTGGGCAACTTCAACTTACAATAGACTGTGCAAACATCCACGCCTGGTGTAGATCTACACCAGGACTCGAGTACTTAAGAGGACTGATCATTAGTTTTACCTCCATACTCAGTGTACATTTTAACAATATCAACAATGTCTCGATATTTTAAACTGAGAGAAAGCTTTCTGCTTAGCGTCTGTCTGAATAAGTATCAGAAACCTATAGTTGTGATAAGTGAATTGCGATCATGCAACAAACTTAGATTCTCTGCAGATGCTTGGGAAGTATTGAAATCTACAATACCGAACATTGAATCATCGATGAGTTCCTTACATGAATCGAACCCCATATGGATAGAGAACAATGGTGTTAGAGTAACGATCCACGACTACGAACCGAGTATCACTATATGCTACAACCCTTACAAGAAGACATCTCGGCCACAATTTGAGGTAGAGATAGATCGTGCTACGTGGAAAACTTTGGTATGTAAAATACCTGAGATTGATGAAAGAATTAGGGTTTTAGCAAGTCCTCCGATCGCTGTGCCTAATGTTGCAGTCGTTAAAATGAATGAGAGAGATGTAACAGAGGACATTGCTCTCGTTCGCCTTCTCTATATCAAGTTCATAGCCAGAGAAATTTCAAGATTAGCCGCAAAGTACTGTACCGGGTGCGTTTCTGACCATCCTTCGCAAAAACATCATATGGATGGATGCATGGCTGAGTGGGATTGCTCCGTGCGTACCTATTTTGACGACGCCAAGGACAACATCACACATCAAAAGATTCTTCGGGGGTATAAAATAGTGAGAGAGAAACAGAATGAGTATGAAAACCCATACGTGTTATCCGTGATAATGTCTGTACCAATGTTAGAGGATTTTCTGCAGGATGTCTCTAATGAGAAAGAACTGTGGGTCCCTGATACCGAGATAGCTAAACTTGCATATTATGCATATGACACTGTGAACAATAACATTTAAATGAAAAAAAAAAAAAAAAAAAAAAAAAAAAAAAACTCTCAGCAAGTGACATACTGTATGTTACTTTTATTAGAAAGAGAAAAACTGTATGTTACTTTTATTAGAAAGAGAAAAACTGTCAAATCGCATATATCTTTGCTTTTCATAAAGGAAGAATATTTATGTTAGTTGTATTCACTGAATAAAATGTACATATTTCTATGTATGAATAACCATGTAAATAATGACAAAATGTTTTGTATTATTACCTTTTGTTAGTATAATTGATGGTTATTGTTTATTTTTAATGAAATAAAAATTAGTTAGTAGAAAAAAAAGGTGTTTGTTTTCTATTTGAATATTTCTATTAACTGAACTATCGAAAACATTGATTGGTTGATTAATGAAAAGGATAAGAATAAATTGCACGTTCGTGAGAAATTCGTGTCATTTTTAATTGATTTACCGAATAAATAAGAATGGATGACAATAAGGACTCAATCGATTGCTGTGTAAGTGATAGTATTTGCATCCCCTTTGCAAAAGAATCGGATCGCATTTTGAGCTTTTTAGATTGGCCCGGCAAATTTCTCATCAACCCCTTACCGTTGGCTCTTTCGGGATTCTATCGCGATTTACATGCTCCTAAAAACGATGATACCGTACGTTGTTTCTACTGTCATGTGCGTTTAAAAAATTGGAATCCCTTGAATGATGCTTCGGACAGAGAACATAGAAAGCACTCACCTTATTGTAGCATGGCTACTCCTGAAACAAGAGAAAATAATCGGTACAACGTTCCCCTAACTCCCAAGACTCGCTGGGAATTTGTTAATTTGTTTGTTGCACGTGATCCGAAACCCCCATGCACTGCAAACACAGTGCAAACTTTACTCGATTTAGGTTTAGATGAACCAGACCATGCACCCTGGCCTCCTGTCCCCTAAACCGTGGAGTTTATTTTAAAATAGGACACTTGGACAACAAAGATTCATTCATCATACAGTACGAGGAGAAAATAGATGTCGAACAATGAAAAAGAAAAGGACTGAAAGTATTGAGACATATTTAAAAAATATATATTACAATCCTTCAAACCCTGCGAGCTTTGGTGGAGTGTTGAAACTTTACAAGGCTGCTCGCAAAGACGGAAAAAAAGTCAGTGTCAAACAAATTAAAGATTTTTTAGCTGAGCAAGATACGTACACCCTGCATGTGCCAAGAAGAATACGATTTAAAACAAATCGAGTAGTTACGTCTGCAGCATTTGAGCAATTTCAAATTGATTTAGTGGATCTTACTAAATTAGCAAAATACAATAAAAATAATAATTTTATTTTGACTGCAATCGATGTGTTTTCAAAATTTGCATGGGCTATTCCTATAAAAACTAAAAGCGCTCACAATGTTCTGGAAGCTTTCAAGCAAATTCTACAAAGTATTAAATTTTATAAATCTCGCCTTCACGTTGTTCAAGCGGACGCAGGCACCGAATTTCGAAATCGAGCTTTCTTATCTTATTTAAAAGAACGACACATTGGCTTTTTCACAACCAAGAGTGAAAAAAAAAAGCTCTGTGATAGAGAGGTTCAATCGCACTCTTAAGTCACATTTGTTTAAATATTTTAGTCATAATAACACGCTTACTTATGTGAATGTACTCCCAGATCTACTAAAAGGATATAATTTAACCAAACATAGGAGTATTGGCATGTCACCTGCAGAGGCTATTCTAGACAAAAATTCCGTGAAGGTGTGGAAAAAATTATACGGCAAAACATCACAGATGAAAACAAAATTCAAATTCAAAGTAGGAGATACTGTAAGATTAAGCAAAATACGTTCTCCTTTTGCAAAAGGTTACGAACAAGGGTATACTCAAGAATTGTTCACCATATTTGCCCGTCTAGGAAGGAATCCCCCCGTGTATAAAGTTAAAGATTTAAATGATGAGATAATAGAAGGAGTTGTTTA